TTAATTTATAAATAAATAGAAATGAGTTGTGGATAAGTAAATTATGGACCATGCTAGAAGTACAAAATATGATACAAAATGGCTTACAAAATCCACAAGTGACGCCTCCCTATTGGAGGGGTAGCTGGCCCCATTTGGGGATGACAATTTGAACCGTCAAAATCGAAAATTGAGGTTAACCAAACCGATGGTACAATAGAGCGGATATGATTTTTATTTTAATGAACCGGTTCGTGGCGGTACGGATATGGTATTTACACCGTCGAACCGAAACCGAAACGATTACTTGCTAAAAAAAAATAAAAAAATTGAATTGATTATTGAGCTTTACACTACTTTTCTATCTAGTCCAAAATAAAATCCCACCCCATTACATCTACTTGACTCAGCCGGTCAACCCACTTACCATTGGCCCATAATAATAGCATTAGTATGACAGTATATAAATGCAAACGCTACTCTCCACAAACCACAAACTCACACACGACTCTTTTTATTGTTATTTTTTTTTTCTATTGTGTGTAGAAAATTCTATTTCTTCATTATACTCTAGAGTTTGTGCAATGTTTAGCGAGAAGGAAGCTAACGAAGATGTACATTTTTTAATTTAAATCTTAGTTAAGACCATTTTGAAATATGTAGTATTGTTGTATTCTCTACTTACATTTCTTATTTACTATATATGAATCAATTTTGAGTGTTGATATATGCTGGTAAGATTTGTGAGGAAGAATGAATCAATTAATTTCGATGCATAACAATTAAGAATGAAAGAAAAGTTTAGTATTGTTATATTTATAATATTGTTTGTTAAATTTGTATTTTACAATTGAAAATTGGGATAATGTTTGCATTTTCGTTTGGAATATTGCATTTTTGTTTTCATTGACTTTTTTCATAAATTATTTTATATCAATTTGACGGATGAACCTATAAAAAATAATTTATTTTTGTGGTTATTAATGAAATCGAACCGTGCCGAACCAAGATACGAACCGAACCGAACCGATTTACGTGATTATGGCGCGGTTATAGTATGGTCAAAAAATTGGTGGTGAGATTATTATTTTGGCCGAACCGAACCGTTACCAACCCTAACCCCACTGTCGCCCCTCCAATAGGAGGGCACCACTTGTGGATTTTGTAAATCATTTTGTACATGATTTTGTACAAAAAGAATAATCCGTAAATTATATATAAGTTTGCTAAATGAAGGTTTAGTCGCTAGATAAGCTCTCATATCAAAATTAGGTACGGTCATCTACATGTGAGCCAATCATTCAATCGATCAACATCCTTGATTTGATGGCTTAAACTCGAAGTCTTCAAAGACGTAATGATTATCTTGCAATACTAGTCAAATAAACCAATGACAAATCAAGGAAGGGCACTCGAGTTTTCGAGGCTTCATACCATGTCACAACTAATTGAAGCAATCGAGTGGTATTGAAACTTTGAACCCCTTTCATTCCTGCAAAAGAAGTACAGAATCCTCTCAATTCTGTCTAAAAAATATCAATAAAGCTACTTATATAAAATTGGGCTACAAAGTGTGTTGACAAAATCTTGATTATTGATTTCAAATAATTTAAAAACCTGTTTTTGAAATAATTGGTGTGGGTGTGATTTTGTCAACCAATTTGTGTAGCATAACTCAAAAAATATACTTCAACTCATATACACCACTTCACTAAGGTAAGCATTAGACAATGTTTAACCATTGAACACTTCACCTTTCCAACAGTAAACTAACATTAATTTAGGGTTCAGAATTCCTTCAAGTTGGTCAAAAAGTGCTATAACTTCAACAAACATAAAGCAGTTGTAATTTATAAAGTGGCTATTATCATTCAGGAGCTGATTTTGATAATAATCCCGTAGTCAACGACCAAAAACTACTGTTTCTCCCATATACGTTAAACCACAAATGCACAGTATTAATTGAACACATCATTTCAACTGCTGACTTGAAACATTATGTTATTTCAGGGCAAGTATCAGATAACTGAATACAGGCGCTACTTCTTCACATTCATGGCCATTATCTCAGTTCTTCCTTCCTTCGCACAAGATAATGTGGTATCCATGTCTGAAGTTACAAAGCAAAATGAAATCAGTAAATATCAGAGCACAATGAGTGGTAATAGATAATTCTGAGAAGCGAGTAATTATAAGAAAGAAATTCAGGATATGAGAAAACTTACGTTGACTTAAATGGTGCAGAGGTAGCTCCAACGACTGTGTTAAACGCAACCTCCTGAAATGGACCAGCCATCTTGCCACGGGGAAACCATCCCAAGTCCCCACCTTTCTTCCCGGACGGACATTCTGAATATTCTGCAGCTAGCTGAAGAACAATGGAAAAAGAAACAGATCAACAACTTACAACCAGGCTTAGTGCTTGTTTGGTAGTACTTTTAAGTGCTTATAAGCTAGTGGTCCTACAAAATGTGGGGAGGATAGTAAATTGTTGGTCCTTCAAATGTATGGATAAAATTATGTTTCACTAACTTAAATTATAATTTAAGCTTTGACAAACATGCTCTAAGTTTGTGTTTTGCAAAGCTAAGAAGCGCAGACATCTACACACGATATTTCAAAAAGTAAGATACGGACACATTGGATACATGCTGGTTTAAATTCTTTAAATTACATATACATATATAATCAATTAAAAAGTTTCATAATTAAAAATTTCTATGAATTAATTTCCAAAATTCACAATATTTGCCTTTCTGTGTCCTTGAATCGTCCAGGACATATACCCCAAGTGTTAATAAGAACACTATTAGACATGCCATATCGTATGTTCAAAGGGTGCTGGGCGAGTTTGGAAACTGTCCCTTTTAAGTGTTTAATATTTAAGAAGTATATAATGAATAAGACAAATCAAATGGTATGCCAAATACAAGTTCCGAAGTGTTTAAGGAGTGTTTGTGTCCGATACATTTTGGACTTGGACATATCACCCACCGGAGTCCATGCTTCACAGTTGGCGAGTGTGTTCTAGATGTATCGGATAGTTACATAACTTTAATATCTATTTCAAGTGAGAAGACAATATTTTGATCCTTAACATAATATGGCTGCCACAAAATTAAGCAAGCCATCTCTCGTGCCTAGAATAATATGAAGCGAGAATTTACAGTCATCTAATTGAATATTCCTACTAACTGAAAACAAGAACGATGAACTATACTTACTTTAGCAAACTCTGCTGGTGGAACCTTGTCTCCATTACTCAGCCAGCCATCTTGTAGCTTCTTATACGCTTCATTAATTTTTCCTTGCTTCTCACACAAGATGTGCCTAGCTGGTAAAAAGTTTATAAAGGATGGGAAAAAAGTGTAACACGCAATAAATTTGCAAATGATGGACAACTTTATGTTGTTATGGACTTTTAAATTGACGTATCAATTTCATAAAAGGGAGGAAGAAACCTTTGACGTAGGTGCAGGTTCCAAGGCCATCACCCTTCCCTCCTTTGCCTTTGTCCTTTGATGCACCGGCATCACTTCCACCAGCTTTTCCCTTACCCTTTCCTCCTGCATCCTTAGGTTTCGAGTCTTTTCCCATAACTGTCGAACAGAATTATCAGCATGTTTTCTAAGCTTAAGAAATTGTAAATTTGTTTCCATTTTCTTTATTTTTTTCACAGTAAGTAAAGACTTGTTGGAGATACCAAAAAAAAGTAAGATTTCACAGTAAATCAGGAAAGCGTAACTTTTAAAAAGCTTCAAATATTTTTGGCAAAAAATAAAATAAAATTACTTAAAAGTAAATTTTAAGTTTAGCTACACATACTTTATATTATAATCAAAATAATGAATAAGAAGAAGAGTGGATAGAAAGATTGAATTACAGTAGCAAAAGAAACAGAGACCAAGTCCGATGAAAACAAAAACTTTGCCTAGGGAACAAGGATAAAACTTAATCAGTGCAATCAATCCAGAAACCAAAACTAAGAACTAAGAAAGGCAAAGAATTCCAACAAGTTAACCAAAAAAAAAAACGAAATAAGCATTTACAGGATCACAATCAGAGGATCACATCCTTTCTTTGAAAAAGAAAAAAAAAAAAAATCAAGCAAGAATAATGTAATCAAACATATTTTATAAAAATCTACAATTTTCCCCTTCATAAAATATTTAACAATTCCACTCTCATAGGCCCAAACAATATACTTTTATCGAATCAAGAACAGCGCCCTACCAAATACACACCAAACAAAATGAATATCGGAAAGCTTTAAAAACCAAAACACCAACAAAATTCAATCTTTTATTCAGTTCTCTGAAAATCTCCTTATTCCAAACACTCAATCAACACTCACAGTAAATAAAATTCTCTCTACGCTACATCCAGTTTATCACAATCAATTGATTTCAAATATAGAAAAAGATGTAACACAAAAATGAGATAAGAGAGTCAATTACTTGAAAATTAAGATAAATTCAGATATATCCATATGGCGAAAACGATTGCAAGAACTGGGTTTGAAGAACTCTACCTTGGAATTTGATAATTTAGGGAAATTTGTACGATGAAATCGAACACTGAAGTCTGAGGCACATTTGCCAGGGACATATATGTCTTTGCTGTAGTTCTACGCTGATGGACTTGTGCTAAAATTACAAGTTTATCCCTTATGACTATATATATATATTTTTTTTTCATTTTTTATAAAGTTTTTTTCCCTTCTAATTATTATCTTGTTTTGCTAAATATTGAGATTGTTTTCAAATATGAAACTATTGTTTTTTCTAACATAAAATCTAATTTAATTTATTAATATTACATTTAAATATGAAATTCCAAGGTCTACCTACCAACCCAAGAAATTACAAAGTTTATTTAGCAAGAATGTTAATAATATTATTGACTTCATGTCGAATTCACTTACAAGTAGAAACCAATAGAAAAAAGGAAAACAAGTTTGACGATCACCATAAAACAGCTCCTCTAAGACATGGAACCAACTTGTACTCGATAATTCTAATTGGCTATCGTTTAGTAAACAATTGGACTCGTTAATAACTACCACGAATAAAAAAAAAAAATCAACTTATATAGCCAACAATTAACACCTGCATCTGTTTTCCACATGAATTAATCTGTTTATACAAAATTTCTATCCAGATAACTTTACAAGTGTTGCAGTGGCAGCTGGATTTTTTTTCCTTGCCCAACATCCAAGTAAATACTGCCAATTGAAATTCTATCATCCTTCTGTAAAAATTCATTATACATATAGCATTGCCCTTCCTACATAGTCCTCAATAACAATGTACACAATAACAAACAAAATCTTGAGAATATTATTTTATTAAAATATGTGTTGCTCAAATCAATGTATAGAAATGTATTTTTTTTTTTTTTTAAAGAATGTGGCTCAAACAGGCCTATGAAAAGCTTCCATTCTCCAATTATTTTCTAATAAAATCCAAATTATTTAGCCGTGATTAGTAGCTAGTGGAGTGGCCCCAAGTCAAATGGAATAGATCATGTTCACTTGAGATAATTCACATTGAATGATTTCTTTCCCAAGCTTAATCTTATCCAGTCGAGCATACCAGATATACAATGCATGTATAATTTCCGTCGCATCCATTAGCATCCACCTTCCTTCCTACAATCATTGTAGTTTTTACCAACCTATTATAGAGTTCAATTCTGACCAAGAAATGAAGTTTTACAAGAAATTTAAGGAAGCTGCTAATAATTAGTAATCTCCAAATCTGCATGTAAATCAGACGTAGAAAATGAAATTCGATATCGAAATTGGCAACAAAAATCCACGACGCTTATCTACTTCATGAGAAGCATTGACACGCCAGTAATCAAGAATGTCCATGGTCAATGATTTAACCTTAGGTGACTTCTTGAAGCTCTCGATTCAATACTTCCGCTCGATCGTTTTCTACATGATACCCCGAGAAGGCATGTCCTTCCTTTTATCCCAGATTAATAGCAAGGGAAATTCATTTTTACGCTGCTATTCAGAATCCGAATCTGAGAATCGCATTTGCTGAGCATCTTTTGGTTCTTCGTCAGTGATGGAAGGTGGAATAAGCTTGTTTGAGTCATTTTTTCGGCGATTCCTTCGCTTTGGTCTATTCTCATCCTGAAGTGAAGCCACGATCTTGTTAGTGACAATTCAACATTAAAATGGCCAACAATGTTAGAAGCGGCGATAATAAATCTGATAGAAGTTGTTATAGATGGAATGCAAGAACCAATTCAAGGTGAAATTAAAGGAGAGTAAATGAACCAAAATTCACAGAAGCCAATAACCAAACTAACCAACTCAAGGCAGCAAAGAGAGAAGTACTGATTACAAAATTATAATTTGAAACAATCTTTGCCGATTAAGAATACATTCAGCTCATTATGAAAAATTACTGCATCATCCAAAACTACGGAGAAGAGAGAAGACAACGTGGTAAAATTTGAAGCCTAATTATTAGATTCTATATAGCCAAAGATTTTTACCATAAACCGTGTATTGGCAATAACTAGAATAGTTGCATGTGATTAAAGCATTTGGCCATCACATTCACATATCCTAAAGCTAGGAACTATGTTTAAGGGTGTGTCTGACTCGGGAAAATATCTAGGAGGAGGTTCTTTTTTGCTAAAATTTAGGATATAAGGATATGGCTAAAGAGGATCAAAACTTTAGACACCGGTACATGGATACATTTTATAAACTAAAAACTACTTCAGAAATTTATATACTAAATTTTAGATGCACCCTTTAGTGATATATTATATATTCAACAGTAAATCTATCACGAATTAGATTGCAAATTGTGATACTTCATTTCAAGTCTAGAAACATGAAAAAATAATTAAAAATCATTTTTAATACAATACAAAAATAACATAAACGATATAAAGGATCCCCTTTAGATTTAAGGATCCTATACCCTTATCCTTCTCATGTGTGTCCAACCCAGATACTTCCAATAAAATGGAGACTCCGAGCAACAGAAGCTAGGAATAACATAACTCAAGTGATTCAACAATCTTATGATAGATATTTTGAAGCTAATAATCTCAAGCAATGGAACCACTATAACATTAAAAATCTAAAACCGCAGACAATTTGCAAGAACCATCTTCAAATGTTCCAGAATTAATATTCCAAGTATTGAGTACTATGGAATAATTTCTTCTTAGTATAAGTTATTAGAGAAGAAATCTCCGATGTGTGTATTTTAAAGTGTGTCCATGTTCTACATACATACAACAATTATATAGTAGCCCATATCATATGATTGACGTTTTGTATTATCCAGTTCAGGTTTGATATGAATTATTCCTCTGTGTGGTCTAAAATTGTTACAAAAGCAATAAAGTCAATGACTCCTAATACCATTTATTTGGTTTGCATGGCAACTGGATGTAGAAGTAAAATAGAGTTGACTTGTACACTAGCACTCACCTTTACCCTTGATTGACTGGATTCATCCCGGTTGCTAGGTTGAGTTGATTGACTTCTGTTTAGCTTTAGCCAAATAAAACTGAATGATATCATTGCTGCAAAAAGCAAAGACGGTCCGATTCTAGGATCACTGAGCCAATCAGATATTTGGAGGTAGAGGCCACTGGTCCAATGTCTTATGCTTTTTCCTGAAGAGAGGAACTTCTCTGAAGGTTGGGACCAAAAGTAATCCGCCTCCTCCGGAGATAGCTCAGGAACTTTAGTTTTCTGCAAAAGAAGGTGTACATAAAAGACCAAATAATCAGATGACCCCATTCACTGGGCAACTAAATATCTCAGTCAGATAAGTGCCAGAAAATAACTAATTAAAAAAATTAATATACACAAGCCTTTGGGTGAGAAAATGAGCATAATGTCCCCTAAATGCTAATAGAAAAAGCATATCAATACAAATTGCCTAAATATCTGATTTTATGCTGTCACATTATGAATAAAATAAAACCAGTTAGGTAAATGAAGATGTAAACATGAATGGAATCTCCTGCCACCTAAAAAAGGAGTTGCAGGAGATTATAGAAACCATAACACCCAGCACAGTCCAGCTGTGCCCAGCCTAAATCTGCTGTATAAATAAAAACTAACATGGAAATGCTAAGACGTGCAAACACCACAAAACAGAACATGCAATGCCATGCATATATAGAAAGAGATAGACAAGGAGATTATAAGAGAACAATAAAAATAAATAAAACAAGAGATAGAAAAGCTTATTTTCAAAAATTGTCATAAGTTCCATGTTACCAACTTACAAAAGGAGGAAGCTCCCTGGAGTCGCCATCTTCAATTGTTTTAGACATCCATCTTATGATCTGCCATCCAAATCAATCAATACTTCAAATAAGAAACATTGAACTAGCTACGTTAAAGCTAGCAAATATGTTCAAAGCTGCTGCGTGAGGGGTTGCCTTGCCTCATCTAATTCTATACATTCACCCAAATAGAAAAATGTTTCCTCACAATATACTGCAACACAAATGTATTAACACATCTCATGAAAGAGGGTACACAAAAAATTTCAGAAGCTCACATATATATATGTAGAATTATATTAAGTAAAAACTAACTGAACCTAGGAATCAGATGATAAAACTCGAGTTATAGTAATCTCAAACATTGAAGAATGAAGAGCCCCTCTAATTTGGTAGGGAATCTAACCTCTGAAATTTCACTTGAGCCATTGTAC